TCACCGCTGACGTTTGAATAATGCTGTAGTCATTAAGAGTGAAAAGGATTGTGAGATTGCCCAATTTGGTGGGGAAAAAATAACTTCTGATATGTTCAGTATCAATATTTTTGGGACTTGGTACGTTAATTAACAATATTTGCATAAAAATGGAATTCGGCTGGCATGTTTCCCTCAAAATACTTTTGCTGTTGCATAATTGCGTAATTTGTAGAAGACAGGGCTGCATATTTACTGAACAGAGGTGAGAAAAATATTAAAATCATAGATACTGAAGGAATAAATTAATACTTCGGCTTTGCAATGAAGCTTTTACTTCTAACACAATCGATGACTCAGATCAAAGAAACCAGCAGGATTTAAAAAAAAGACACCAACGTTGAGACATGATGTGAGCAGTGATCTTCAGTGTTTAATTTAGGTGCACTGGACAGTGGTTTGCAGAATGCTGAATTAGTGTGTAGCGACCCTAGTGCTAGTCCAAAGAAAGTAGTAGTAGGGCAACTAACATCTACCTAGGTCTAATGTGCGGCCTTTAATAACTCAGGACGAGTTAGTATGGTTATTGAACAGTTGACAGTATTTATTGTCTTAGGCAACCCAACAATATCAACTGCAATTTACATGGAATGAAAATAAAAATGTAAAATAAAATAGAGCTCTCTCAGTAGGAAAATAGAAAAAGAAAATAAATTACTCCTTTAAGGAGTCTTATATCGAGTTCAGAGTTCAGTTCCTGATCCTTGTACGTATGTGCACTGAGTCTGCTACTACCTGGGTAGAGTTAATAGTGTATACGCATTCTTATCTGTTCCTGAATGAGCAAACTAGTCTGATGTCCTCTGTGGCTGGTTGTGAGGCAGGCCTCCCCGCTTCCCCGACCCTCCACAGTCACTCTGGGCTGGGCTCGCCATCATGGATCCTCAAGATTCTTTCTGGTAGCTCAAAAAAACCAACCTGAACAAGTAGTGCAGAGTATTAAGTTACTTTGTTTTGTTCTTATTTCTAACATGAGACCTCATTAACTTATTTTCTTAGTTTCATCAATGACCAGTGACTAGAACATACTTTGTTGACAATAGAATTAATTACCACATGTAATAGCAACTGGTATTTTAAGCACCAACTAATCTTGAATCTTGAATCTTAATCATGAATTTCTGTATACCTCAACAATTGGTATTTTAACAAAGGAATTATTTATCATCACTTTCTATATGTAACATTCTTTTTAACTGTTTCCATACATCATTTTAATATTTTAATTTAATTGATATAATACTTTAAACATTACATTTTTTCCTCCTGCCACATGTCGAATTATCCTTGATCCTTTAGCAAGATACTGAAACCCAAATTGCTTCCGATGCTGTGCATCGGTGTGAATGTGTGTGAAAGGGCGAATATGGCAGGTAGTGTAAAAGCGCTTTGAGTGGTCGGAAAACTAGAAAGGCGCTATACAAGTACAGGTCCATTTACCATTTACCATTTACAGAGCACAGTGGTGGGAACAGAGCTGGACTCTCTGGTGACAGTGGCAGAAAGAAGGACTCGACAATGCCCACCACTCTCTATACAACACCTTCACCAGGCAGAGGAGTGCTTTCAGTGGCAGACTGCTGTCCCAATCCAGCTCCACCAACAGACTCAAAAACTATTTCGTCCCCCTGGCCATCCGACTGTACAACAGCTCTTAGTCAAGGCAGGGAGGACAATAGACAATGGACAATTTCGTCCTCCATTTGCACAATTTTTAAAATTTGAATGTTAATTTTAATTTGAATGTATGTTTAATGTATGTCTAATGTATGTATGTATGTATCTAGTGTATGCTGCTAATGGATCTATCTATGTATCTATCTATCTACCATGACTGTTTAGAGTTTTTTCAGAGTTTTTTTCTTTAGGTTGACACTAAACAGTTTTTCTTTTCCTGAATAGGTCAAAATTTCACTATACGGTTAATGACACCAATGTACTGACAATAAATGCAACAGTTCTATGAGCAGTTTTAACAGCCACTGCTAATCCATTGATAGATGCAGAATATCTCAAGACTTTTTCAATCAAAATCCATCATATCCTTCCTTTGTGTCACTTACTCTGCCTCTTGCTCACTCCATATTCAATGCTAAGGAAATACATTCCAGTGGGTTTATTCAATATTTTCTACTGTGTGAATATTACATATAATCATCTTTATCTATAAAAACTCTTATATAGCACCCAGGCTTGCTTAGTAAACAGGCAGGATCTATACATAGCACTCCACATGATAAATCACTGTAATCACCCTGGATTTTCCGTAAGACAAAAATAAAATCCAATTCCATCATTCAAAACACAGAGATTTGTCTTGTGTCTGTGCGACTCCTGGCAGTGAGTTTATAAGAGTGAATTTGCTTCTTTCTTATAGCCTGCCTCACTCTTATTCAATCAAAGGACCATTTTTATTGCTGGCGTGCAGGCACCTGATTGCAATAACCCAGTTGATAGATGGGGGTGGGCTGCTACTGTAGCAGGTGTGCTATATGCGCTAAGATAATCTGTTTTTATAAAAGGACCAGACAGGTCTCCACATCAGGAGTTGCTTTGTGTTAAAATTACCTGATAAAATATGTAGATTATTTCAGTGAGTTAAGGATCAGTGGGAACCAACAGCTCCTCTATTACCGCCTTGATTCACTACTCCCCTGATGTGCTTTCCTGCAGTAAAAGCCCTCAACAAAAGGGTCTGCAAGAATATTTCAGAGCTGCTGATATTCAGCTAAAGTATAAGCTACCTGCTGGTGTGAATCTAACTGAACTCAAGCAAAAATGCATTACTCTTTGACCTTGTTTGTATTGCCAGATGAAAGCCATTGCATCTCAAAGAACCTGTAGATGAAAAATTGAGGTTGTTGTGGAAATGGAAAAATAAAGATCTTTTAAAAAGACATTGTTCTCTTAGGGCACACAGCGAAGATTGCTTTTTTTAGAGGAGGGAGGTAGGAGGTAGACACATTTTGCTGGACAGTAGGACTTTTGCCTTCAGTACTAACTGAAAGATGAGTTAGGGCACTTTGGTGGGGAAACCAGAAGTGTCCAACACAGTTGGCGGCTGTGGCTCAGAGGCAGAGCGGGTAGTCCACTAATCGGAAGGTTGTTGGTTCTATTTCTGGCTCCTCCCGCCACATGTTGAAGTATCCTTAAGCAAGATACTGAACCCCAAATTGCTCCCGATGTTGTGCATCGGTGTGTGAATGTGTATGAATGCATTAGTTTCTGTTCGATGGCCTTTGCCATCACTGAGTGAATGTGTGTGAAAGGGCGAATGTGGCATGTATTGTAAAAGCGCTTTGAGTGGTCGGAAGACTAGAAAGACGCTATACAAGTGCAGGTCCATTTACCATTTACCATATAAGTGTCCAGGTGGACATAATGTTTTAGTCTTTTGCTTCCATCAAAAATTTCAACAGCTCTGTGCAGAACATCTAGAACAGGGGTCCTCAACATTTACTACCAAAAGAGAAGAAAGAGAGATTGGCCAAAAGAGAAAAAAAATCTGTCTGGAACTGCAAAACTTATTTGTGCTTTATAATGCTGATTTCTGGCCGCACATCAAGTGTACCGGTAAGCCAGCAGCATTGGTGGTGAAAGCAAACAAATCTGTCCTATTCAATTGCATCCATTTGCTTCTTCTGCAACAATGAAGTCAAGGAACATCGTGTGGTGAGCTGTGAAGAGAGGCTTCCCTCCTGCCTGTGTCTGACACAAATGACAAATATGTGGAATATGTACATAATTTTAAAAAACACAATCACAAATACACAATAGATACTGTTTCTAACAAAGGGAAAATCATACATGAACAAGTAAATGCCTAAATAAATAAAAATAATAATAAATTTAAAAAAAGTATTAAAAATGAAAAAGGAAAATTAAATGGGAAAGTAAATAGGGAGTTATTACAAAGGTAAAACACATTTATGTCACATTTCAAAAGAAATGAATTCCCATATTTATATCTAATATTATTTTTGGTGCATTTAATGGCCTATATTCAGGGGTGGACTGGGACAAAAATTCAGCCCTGGCATTTTCTGTCCAGACCAGCCCACTACATTATCAGCAGACACTACATAGAAGTCCACAAATCTCGCAGCATCTCCTCTCATGCATACTACAAAGGAGAGTCATATTCCTTGATAGCAGTCAACAAATAAAGCACGTAACTATGAACTCAAGGACTAAAACTGACAGCTATAGCAATCAATCAATCAGTCTTTATTCATTATAGTGTCAAATCACAACAGAAGTTATGTCATGACTAGGGGTGGGACGAGACTTACGGGAAGAACCCTCCTCATGCTACCCTTTCAGTTTTTAGTCTGTGACTATGAAAATCTTTTGGTGTAAGCCCAACATTAGTTAAAACCAGACTCGGACAATAATAACAAAATATCCTGACAAATAATCTAAATAGAAACATATTACAGACAGTAGCAGCATTAGAGCTGAAACTCATTTGTTTTAACTCACCGTCATTATGAAACCATAAAAAAAATGATCTATAGTTGTGTGAAAAAGTCTAAGACATGAATTACAGGTCTGAATAGATATACATTCTCATATACGTGTATGTGCACATGTTAATATTGCCCTACTTCCTCGTCCGCAGCCAGCCAGCTCCACTCCTCACCAAATTCATGACCTGCAAGAAACAGCAAACAGAACTTGTACTCAGTATCTGTGTACTGACAAGTATATGTAGCCATGTAGCCTTTTTGTGATGTAGTGACACTTAGTGAACAAATGTATCTGTCATGAAGGATGACTTAAGTCTCAAAAGAGCCCTAAGGCCTACCTGCATAACTGTTCATTGAACTTAAAATATATGCAGATGTTTGAAATTAAAATCATCAATATGAAAATCTTCAACCAGGAAATAATCATAATCACACCTTTTGTTTCAATCTGAGACAAAACAAGTTGCATAATAAACTCACAGTCAAGACGCTCTCTCTCTCTCTCTCTCTCTCTCTCTCTCTCTCTCTCTCTCAAGCATCATAGAAGAACTTCTAGCAGGTCAGGAAAACCTGTTTGACAGGAGATGAAGGTAGCAGAGAATATAAAGAGACATTTATGAATTACCAATTGTCATTCTATCACACATATAGTATGTTTCTTCACATGAACCTTTAAACATACACATATTGCATTCCTCTCACCACATAAAATAAGCTCAGGAACCCAAAAGTGGCCCAGTGAATGATGGAGGAGACAAAGAAGGTCCTCAAAAGGGGACAGAGGGAAAACAACTCCTTAGGCTCTCATATATAGGGTGGTCAACCTAAAAGAGACATGGAAACATTAAGTCATCATCACAAATCAAGTATGAATTCATATAACATTATAAGACACATGACATACTCAACCAATCAGAGACGTCTCAGTAGCCAAAAAATGGTGAAGTGGAGGCAGTAAGAGAGCAAGTCCTTGAAAATGGACGGAGGGGGAATAACTCCTCAGGCTCTCACATGTCAAGTGGTCAACCTGAGAGGGACATGGAGACATTATTAAGCCTCTAACCCTAACCCTATGAATTGAAAGATTACAATAAATTCAATGGCAAATATTGCAAATTAAACTCATTATTTCCTCTAGGTTTACTTGTATTTTGTGCTAAAATTCAAAGTATTCAATTCAATTCAATACAGCTTGATTCTGCATCTCTATTTATAGCTCATTAGTCCATGTCAATGTTAAGTGTTGCTATGGCAACAAGAGACTGCTGACGTTAGCAGCTGTTAACTAGTTTAGCTAAATCATCTGAACAATAATAATCCATAATATCACAATTCGGCATATTTAAACAAAATCAACCACAACTACCAACAGTCACAGCCCTTCAACTCTGGGCTAATATGTTGTCACAAGTATGCAGTTAATTAGGTCACATCACATTCAATGGAAAAACATTTTCTACTTTGTTTTGGACATGTCTCAAAATGTAGCCTAGCCAGCCTCAGGCTAACGTTACTCACCATGTCTGCCTCCACTCGCTCGTCTCCCGGTGCAGCAGCACCTGCTGGGGTGGTGACCCGGGCACCAAATAGGTCTGTCAATGTCCAACATTTAGCAGCTTCCACTTCCAGAGACTTCAGCTTTTTAAGTCGCAGTTTTTCAGCGTCACCTGGGCGTTTCTTACGCTTATCTATTTTCAGCTCAGCAGCAGCCCGTCCCGCGACTCTGGCCCATGCCATTAGGTTTGTGTTGTGATTGACAGCACTGTCAGGGCTCTCTGAGCCTGTCAGCCCATGATTGATTGACAATGACAAACATAGACCAATAATATGTGTCGATGCTGGCAACACATTGCTAACCCTCTGTAACCAATTGGCCGGCCCAATTGGAGGGAATTTAGAGAGAGAAAAAAAACAAAAAAACATAGCGGACCGGACCGGCCCACATTGGGTCAACGGCCCACCGGGACAATGCCCGGTATGCCAGATGGCCAGTCCACCCCTGCCTATATTCATTAATTAGGTAATTTATTTGTTTTTGATTTTGGCGATTTCAGTCCTTCATATATATTTACTGTAAGTCACAAGAACAAAAGTGTCTTTAATGTAATCGATCTGGTACCAAAAATAACAGAATACTACAGTGTATGTAGGGTTCAGTGACTGCTAACGATTCTGTCCCTTATACTTCAACCTATATGGTCCTCAGTGAGTCCCCAGCCAGCCACTTGAATCATTCCATTCAGCCTCTAACCTAAAAATGATTTAGACCTTTATAGAAAAGATCTCTAAATTATTCAGCCATGCCAAGAGATTAGCACTGCAAATGCAATGATTATTTAATAGTGTATAACTGTTCTCGGAGGTCTCATGACATATTTAAAGGCAGTGAATTATTAAGTTCTCACCTTCACGGTTTGTCCAGCTTCAGGGCCATCCTGGTGGGAAAAGAAAGAGGTAATTAGAAAATAGTTGGGAATTCAGAAATATTTACATTAATGATTCAGAGATATATTTTAATTTCAGATGAGCTACAATACCTCACTTCTTTCCTTCAATAAAAAAGGAAAAAATAGATATTCCTTCTGGTTTGTTTCATTGCCTCCTATGTCCTGACATTCATTTCTTTATGACCAATTTTTCTTCAATTGGAGAGACAAGGTGACAAATTATGTTTTTATACACTTCAGTAAAACCTTCAAATAATAAAATTAAACTTTACTATGGCTGATGACGAAGGCTGTACCCCACAATTGCAGATAAATAAACTTCTTATACACACTAAGCTTAGATTTCCCAGCAGATTATCCTGGTTGTAGTACTCATGAGAAAAATTAAGTTGATGTATGACTATCACCTTATTATGTCCATGTGGCAACAACTTAGGTCTCTGGGATAATTTATCTTACGTGTTGATATGGCTGATATCAAAATCATAATAACAAATCAAGAAAGCTGAAAACAACACTGTCTTTTAGATTTGGAGAATTATCAGTAAAACGGTAAAAAATCTACATATTTTGACTTTTTTAATGTAATACTGAACTGGCCTGCTCAGAAACACAACTACTTCTTCACCTGCTGACAATGCAACGCTTCAACAATTGTCTTCTTCTCAGTCATTTCAGGTGTGATCACATGTATTGACATTATACATTGATATTTGTTAGATGGTGATAACTGGAATTTGCATGGCTCTCATACACACCAGAAATCAGAATGGCGAGTAAACAAAGAAATCAATAAACTCTGATGAAGTCCACCGTTATTCTTCAGCACTGATAGAGGAAACAGAGAGTGTTTGTGTCACCATCAAAAATCTTTTTTTCACCACCAATCCTCCAGTGAGCTCGATTTGTGTGATATTATTTGTCACAGAAGTGGCAGTGTCCCTCCTGCAGAGAGTTCTCCTTTAATGTGTTGGCTGTAACCCGCGAGCTGTCACAACTAATCTCCTATCATCACTTCTCATCACCTCCCCAGTCAAAGAAAATGATATCCAGGTAAAGATTACTCTTTGCTGCTTTGTTTTTTTTCTCTCCTTTCTCCTAACCTGTGAAACAATTTTCTCTGACAGGGCTGCGGAGTGAGCTAGGTGCTATTTTGATATTAGCATATATATCACCAGTTATGCAGAATAGGCCATTCAGTCTGAGACGAGAGCCTGTCTGGGTGTCAGAGTCAGCTCTGTATTTAGCTTCCATCATACGACAGCAGAACTGATCCATACTGAAAACACCAACAGGCCTCATTCTGCTCTGCTGCTGAGCTAAGAGTTTTTTTTTTAAGTCATTTGGTCTTTCATTGAATTCTAAAAATCTTATTTTCTTCAAATAAGTGTAGGCCAGTCTAAAAATATTTCATTTTTGACAAAAAATATGTAAACAAATAGAGTATAACATTAAAACCAATTTATTGGAGCAATACAGTTCATAGTGATTTAAAAAAGGCAGAGAAGAAAATCCTTGTCATTGTGTTAATAAAGTTATTTGAATAAGGTGTTCATCTTGACATTTTGTTAATTGCACTGGTTGTTACCAACCAAGGATTATTAAGGGAGAACTGGATAGAGTATTAGAGCCTGGTCTCCATTCATTTAAGAGCTGCTCATTGGTGCATTAAGCCAAAAAAGTAGCTGAGCACAGCTACCGGTTTAGCCCTTTCTAACTAACTTTCTAACGACAACCTTCCGGATAATCGGAAGGTTGTCAGTTTGATCCCCGGTTTTGGATTCTGTGACATGCTACGGTAAGCGTACTGACTCATTTCCGGTTTACTTCCTGCTCCGTGTACACTGTTTGGTACTGTAGCTCTGTCAGTGAACGCTAAACCTAAATATATCTCTAGCCCCTATAGTTAGCCAGCCCCCAGTAGCCGGTGCAGACCGACCGAAGGTAGCTTCTGTTAGCCGTCCCCCGGTAGTTCCCCCGGTAGTTCCCGAGCAGCCAGGAAGACAGGGAAAGTGGGTGACTGTCTGGGGGATGCATAGCCGCAAACAGAAGAAGCCCACAGTTCACCACCAACCCATTCATGTTTCTAATAAATTTTCCCCACTCAGCGACACACACGCTGAGGAACCAACTCTGATTATTGGCAGCTCCATAGTCAGAAACGTGAAGTTAGCGAAGCCAGCGGCCATAGTTAAATGTATCCCTGGGGCCAGAGCGGGCGACATCAAATCCTATTTAGAACTGCTGGCTAAAGATAAACGTAAATATCAAAAGATTGTTATTCACGTCGGTGGTAATGACACCCGATTAGGTCAATCGGAGGTCACTAAAATTAATGTGGAGTCGGCGTGTAACTATGCTAAAACAATGTCAGACACTGTAGTTTTCTCTGGACCCCTGCCCAATGTGACCAGTGATAACATGTATAGCCGCATGTCGTCATTCCACCGCTGGCTGTCGAGGTGGTGTGCAGAAAACGATGTGGGCTTCATTGATAAGTGGAAGCCTTTTTGGGGAAAACCTGGTCTGATTAGGAGAGACGGCATCCATCCCACTTTGGACGGAGCGGCTCTCTTATCTAGCAATATGGCAACGTTTATTTCTAAAACCTGACAGTCCAGAGTTGGGACCAGGAAGCAGAGCTGCTGTCTTACACACTTCTCTGCCCTTCCATTAGAACAGTCACCCACCCAAAACCCCATAGAGACTGTGTCTGTCCCCCGACCACCTAAATTATTTAAAGAAATAAAAACAAGAGGAGTTGAACATAAAAACCTAATAAAAATTAAAACCAACTCCTCAGTAGCACAAAATAAGAGAATGTAGACTGTTAAATATCAGGTCTCTGTCCTCTAAAGCTGTTTTAGTGAATGAATTAATATCAGACTATGATATTGATTTACTTTGTCTTACTGAGACCTGGTTGTCCCACGAGGAGTATGTTAGCCTTAATGAATCCACCCCCCCCAGTCATATTAATACTCACATTCCTCGAGGCACAGGCCGAGGAGGTGGAGTAGCAGCCATATATGATTTGAGCGTTTTAATGGACCCTAAACCTAAACTAAATTATAATTCATTTGAAAGTCTTGTTCTTAGTCTTTCTCACCCAAACTGGAAAACACTGCAGCCAGTTCTATTTGTTATAGTGTACCGCGCTCCTGGACCGTACTCTGATTTTATATCTGAATTCTCAAGAGTTTTTATCAAGTTTAGTCCTTAAATCAGATAAAGTAATTATTGTAGGTGATTTTAATATTCATGTGGATGTTGAAAATGACAGTCAAAGTAACACATTTATATCATTAATAGACTCAATTGGCTTCTGTCAGAGTGTAAATAAACCAACTCATTGTTTTAATCACACTCTTGACCTTGTTTTATCATATGGCATTGATATTGAACATTTAAATCTTCCCACATAATCCTTTCCTATCTGACCATTATTTAATAACAAAAAGCTAGGAAATCTGAAAGGAAATGGCGCTCTTCCAAATGATCAGAATATCACCCACAACCCACAACTATCATTATCATGCCAATTTGGCATGATAATCTTGAAACCTATAGAAAGGCCCTCTGTAATGCCAAAGGAGCCTATTATTCAGCACTTATAGAAGAAAATAAGAACAACCCCTAGTTCCTCTTCAGCACTGTAGCCAGGCTGACAGAGAGTCACAGCTCTATTGAGCCACATATCTCCATAAACTTAAGTAGCAATGACTTCATGAGCTTCTTTTATAATAAAATTATTACTATTAGAGAGAAAATTAATCACCAACTGCCATCAACAGCTATCAGTGGCTCTCCAAGTTCAGGAACGTTAACGAATGTAAACTCAGATATATATTTAGACTGTTTTTCTGCTATCGATCTTCATCAGTTAACTTCAATAATTTCTACATCGAAGCCATCAACCTGTCTATTAGACCCGATCCCAACTAGGCTGCTTAAAGAAGTCGTACCCTTAATTGGCACTTCTTTACTGGATATGATTAATCTTTCTTTATTATCAGGATATGTACCACAGTCCTTTAAAGTAGCTGTAATTAAACCCTCTCTTAGAAAGCCTACTCTTGACCCAGGGGTTTTAGCCAATTATAGACCGATTTCTAACCTCCCCTTCCTCTCTAACATTCTGGAGAAAGTAGTCGCCAAAGAGTTGTGTGACAATAGTTTATTTGAGGATTTTCAGTCAGGATTTAGAGTTCATCACAGCACAGAGACAGCTCTGGTTAAAGTTAATAATGACCTTTTGATTGCTTTAGACAATGGACTTGTCTCTGTACTTGTATTATTGGATCTTAGGGCTGCATTTGACACCATTGACCATAATATTCTTTTACAGAGACTTGAGCATCAAATTGGCATTAAAGGAACCGCACTAAGCTGGTTTAAGTCATATTTATCAGATCGTTCGCAGTTTGTACATGTCAACGATGAATCTTCAATAAATTCTACAGTTAGTCATGGAGTTCCACAAGGTTCTGTACTTGGACCAATACTATTTACTTTATATATGCTCCCTTTAGGCAACATTGTTAGGAATCACTCCATTAACTTTCACTGTTATGCAGATGATACGCAGTTATATCTATCGATCAAGCCCGATGAAATTAATCAATTATCTAAATTACAAACATGTCTTAAGAACATAAAATCCTGGATGAGCTGCAATTTTCTGATGTTAAACTCAAAAACCTTAGAGACTCACTGTCTAAAGATATAGTTACTCTAGATGGCATTACCTTGGCGTCTAGCACCACTGTCAGGAATCTTGGAGTTATCTTTGATCAGGATTTGTCATTTAATTCCCACATAAAGCAAACCTCCAGGACTGCCTTCTTTCATTTATGTAATATTACAAAAATTAGACACATCCTATCACAGACAGATGCAGAAAAACTAATCCATGCATTTGTTACTTCTAGGCTGGATTACTGCAACTCTTTATTATCAGGTTGCCCCAATAAATCCATTAAGGTGCTCCAATTAATTCAAAACGCTACAGCACGAGTACTGACAGGAACTAGGAAAAGAGATCACATCTCTCCTGTACTAGCTTCTCTGCACTGGCTCCCTGTAAAATTTAGAATAGAATTTAAAATCCTCCTCCTCACCTATAAAGCTCTTCATGGTCAGGCCCCTTCATATCTTAAAGAGCTCATAGCACCCTATTACCCCACTAGAACACTACATTCTCTGAATGCTGGGCTACTTTTGGTTCCTATAGTCTCTAAAAGTAGAACAGGAGCCAGAGCCTTCAGTTACCAAGCTCCTCTCCTGTGGAACCAGCTTCCAGTTGTGGTTCGGGAGGCAGACACCCTCTCAAAATTCAAGACTAGGCTTAAGACATTCCTCTTTGATAAAGCTTATAATTAGGGTTGGCTCAGGTGAGTCCTGAACCATCCCTTAGATATGCTGCTTTAGGCCTAGACTACCGGGGGATTTCCCATGGTGCACTGAGCTCCTCTCTTCTTTTCTCTTTCTGCACTCATTCATGTCCCACTAATGCATGTTACTAACTTCACTTCTTCCCGGAGTTCTTGTGCTTTTTCGTCTCGCAGGTTCTCATGGATCCTGGTGGAGCCTCCTGCCATGGTCCTGCTTGACTGCCATTGCCAATATCACTGGTATTAGTGTTATTATTATTATGAGTATAACTATTATTATAGCTACGGTTACTGTTGTTGCTGTTGTCACTGCTGGTCGAGACAGACGACCACCCACCTAGAGCCGAAGGATCTGTCCTAGGTTTCTGCCTTTTAACAGGCAGTTTTTCCCTGTCCTTGTCGCCAAGTGCTTGCTCATGGTGGTACTGTTGGGTCTCTGTAAATAATGTTATAAGGAGACCCGCTCTATTTGAAAAGTGTCCTGAGATAACTTCTGTTATGAATTGGCGCCATACAAATAAAATTGAATTGAATTTAATTAACTTAAATGGGGATACAATTATTTAGTAATGCGGCTCTTCTAGACTTTCCAAATGTTATTGGACCAAATGGACGAGTCATTTTGTGGCAGTTGTGAAAATGTATCCACCATTTTACAGCTACTTTTTTCACAATATAAGCTTATGGGAAAATGTATTTTGGGGCCTGTGTGAACACCATTATGCACACTCTGTAAATTGTTTTGTCAGGTTAACATAATAAAAACTTTTTAATTGATTATTTTATTTTATTTAAACTTTTGGAAAATAAATATTGTCTGCAGTAGTGAGTAGGGACTTGGCTTGGGAACTGGAGGGTCACTAATTCAAGTGCTGCTACATGGCAGCCCATCACACTTTTGTTACTTTAGAGTGAGACGTTTTTATTTTCAATAAGGGAACGATAATTATAAACATAATTCTTAGCAGGAGTTAAAGTCAGTGACACATATATTTCTGCTCAGTGGAGGCACTGTTAGATATTTGTACTTCATAAATAGGTTAAAAGGGTTTAAAAGGTAGTAATTGAATTTCTGTTACACAGCTTAACCACAAGTAAAAGTATCCAGAGCCACACACACACACACCATTTAGACCACTAATATTATAAATAATAATAATGTACTTACATCTTACTGCAACACATTGTTTTTCACACAGTATGACAGATCTTGTTACATCTCTCCTCCTCTATGATATTTACACTACTGTTTTCTGAGTTACATTACTTGTAATATCACACATTTCAGAGATGAGGCTACACTAAGTCTAAGTTTTACCTGGATGGCAATGGTGAGCGAGGTGGCATTGAAGTGCTTCTCCACCAGGTTGGCGACTCTCTGAGTGGTGCTGAATAAATCTGCCACTTCATCTGGCCGAAGATCCCGAAAACGCTCCACTGGTCTCAGAGGGCACACCAACACATCTGAACAAGTTTTGTTAAGGAATTTTGTGCTGAAGACAGAGTTTACTCACCTTTTACACCGATCAGCCATAACATTCTGACCATCTGAGCACCCTGGTGGTCCTAATGTTATGCAGCCCCATACGTGTTCTGTCACCTTTCTATCAGAACCAGCATTAACTTTTCCAGCAATTTGAACTACAGTAGCTTGTCTGTTGGATCGGACCACATGGGCCAGCCTTCCTTGCACCACTTTTGATAGGTACTGACCACTGCAGACCGGGAACACTCCAGAAGAGCTGCAGTTTTGGAGATGATCTGACCCAGTTGTCTAGCGATCACAATGTGGCCCATTTCAAAGCTGCCGAAACACATCAACTTTGAGCACAAATGTTCACTTGCTGCCTAATATATTCTACCCACTGCCATGATAACAAGATAATCCGTGTTATTCACTTCACCTTTCAGTGCTCATAAAGGTTTTACATTATGGCTGATGTAAAACCTCTTATGCATTATAGTGAGTCTTTCTGCTTCATGCCCAGTGTATCTCTATTGTGATGTCACCCATTGGCTTGTGGAGTACTGTTTTGAAGCCTTGAGTTTGGCGTTATAGTCGTCACCATATTGTTTTTTTGCAGCCAGCAGCTGTGACATACTAGGAGTTGAGCTTGCCCCACCTGGTCACACATTTTCTCATACAACAGTAAAAACAATACACTATGTTTCTGGAAAGATTTGAGGCGAGAAATTGACAATGTAGTAACATAATCGTGATTCATGTTTGACTAGGCAGTGCTGATCAAACATGAATCACGAATGGACTGATTGAGAATGACTTGTCAATCACATCACGCCCTAAAGCATACCCTGCTTTATCACCTATTTTCCTCTAAATGGGACCATTTACAAAATGAACATCATGCTGTATGAAAGAAGACTTGATAGACATTGAGACTATACAGTCATTAGGAAACTGTTTACTGAGCTAATAAATCAAGTGAGAAAATAGGCTAATTTCTCCATAATACTGTTCGAAAGAATGTTAGTTTAAGACGTTTCCATTGGGCTTCCTTTATACTACATTCTCTCTGCTTCACCTTGCATAATGTATGTGCACCTCTACAGCTATGACAGGAGAACTGGACATTGGTAAGTTCAGGAATTTTCCCAATAGGCCGGTCTTTGTTTCCCAATCCCAGCATTGTATAGCCTATATACAGATATTCAATAGGTCATCTTAGCTGCAGCGACACAACTCATAAAAGCTGGTAAATGGTAAATGGACTCTACTTATATAGCACCTTTCTATGCTTTTGACCACACAAAGCGCTGTATACTACATGCCACACTCACCCATCCACACACATTCATACATTGTTGGCAGTGGCTGCCATGCAAGGTGGCAACTGCTCATCAGAATGTAACACACAATACACATTCAAACACCGATGCACAGTATTTTGCTCAAGGACACTTGCAGCAAACCTTCTGATAAGTGGACAACCTGCTCTACATCTGAGCCACAGCCACCGGTACCAGTTATCATGTCATCACAATGGAAACTGAAAGTATCATTCGATTGATGTATAGCTGGATCTCTTTCCTCTCGCACCACGGTGTAACGTATGGGGCAGGTAGGTTTGAGCAGAGATACTCTCTCGCTCTCTCTCTCTCTCTCTTTCCAAGAGTCATTGGATTAAGATGTTCCTATAGCTTGTAAATGTGTAAATATGTATTTGTTTGATCTTGTAAATGTAGAGGAAACATTTTTTTTTTAAAAATCATTTAGTAAATAACCTTTGTGTTAACTGTGATTCTTTGTGTTACACCTCTCTGTAGAAGGCTGTTTCCGCTGCACAGCAAATGGACTTGCTGTCTTAATACAAGGACAAACCACATTTGCTTCATGTAATACATGACAGGCTTAAATATAACCCAACCTACACATGTCTGATAAACTGTACATGAACTAAAGAACATAATAACCACCTGCATACAAGGACAGACACATTTATAGCCTGGCTTGAACATCTAAACTTTTTCGTTCTTTTCTCTCTGAGAAGGGAGTAGGCCCTCACTTGGGAATACCTCCCTTATTTGCCCCTGACATTTATCTCTTAATGAACATCACAACTCTTTGTTCTTGTATATATAAAAAACCCTGGTATTAATGCATTCTTCATCGACTCATCGGGAGACACTGACTGTTACTTGTTGATGTCGATCCTTCTGCGCAGAAGCTTGAATAAATATACAAAGACAAATTTCTCTTTGTTTGGTTTTCCTTTATTCGGTTAAACTTCCACCACAGTAAATATGTATTTGTTTGATCTTTGTATAAAAAATTGTCAGGTCATCAACTTCAATTGTGAATGGATAAAATCATGTAAGATTCAATGATTTTCATCTATACTACTCAAAAAATAAATTTTAAGTTATTAAATACTCTACAGGTGACCATGAACAAAACAGAAAAGGATGGAGGAGGTGGATGGAGCAGGAACCAGCACAGATCCAATTAGACATTCACTACTGAATGTTTTGTGTGACTATGCAGTAAATAAGAGCACAATACATTACTTATAGGATGGATTACTTCATCCAAGTTATTTATTGTTGCATTACAATAAATAGAATGAATGGCAAGTATGGTTGCATTATTCATATACGTATGTATTATTTTATATATTAGCCTAACAAAAAAAATGTGTTATTGATTGATGTCGTTGATGGATAAACGTGTGTCAGTTCAAATTTACTGTGTCAAACTGGGGCATCTTAACAGAAAATTCCCAGGCTGCTTTATTTTAGTATGCCCCTGTGGCTGTGACATACAGTAAGTGTAAGAATCCATTCTTGGCTGTGCAGTTACTGAAAAATAATTCAACCAATTTGAAATGTAATTTTGTTTTGTTTTTTGACATGAACAGTCGACTAGACAACAAGCTTGCCATTTGAGTGGTTTAATTTGTGGGAAACTGTTGCTAGACAACAGACAAAAATGGCCACTGTCTTGATCTATTTTGAAAAACAGATTGATTGATCTTTGTGTATTTCAACATCAAGCTGAGGAACAAGAAAGAGTTGACGACAGAGCAGACCAACATTAGAGGGCTCCATCATTAAAGACGTTGGGGCAACTGGCAACACAAAGCTATTATAACATTTCAACCCATGATGTAGTCAACATTGACTCAATCACATGGACTCTTCTCATGAACACAGCAAACACCAACCCATCTAAAGGCACCATATTGCACATGGGGAAATGCCCCCTTTGGATTCTTAGATTCTGTCTCATCTCTTTCACGATGCATTTTTTATAATCATTCTCTTTCAAAATGTTCTTTCTGTTCACTCAGTAAGTGTAGTCAAAAAAACTAAAATACAAAAACAAATACAAACCAAAAAAAATAGTCAAAATCAGAATCAGAATCAGAAATACTTTAATAATCCCCGGGGGGGAAATTACATGATAAGTATACGTACCAACTTGAATGGAACATATGACCATATGTTCCTGCTTCCTGTTTTAAATCCCCTTCCAGTCAAAGCTCAGTATTTCTTCTTGTTCCTACAGTGTGATGTTTGATCTTCACTGTGCAGAATGATGTATGTGCAGAGTTTGACACTAGATGGATGTTTTCACATACATCTGCTGAAAGTGGAAAGTTTCTCTGTGCTCACTGAAAATGAGATTTTAAGGGGTGGTGCCTACCAGTACGATTAGTGACATCACAAATAATTTGGAAATCCTGATGCAGTATGCAACTTGTACAGTGTGATGTAGAAACTTGAAGCCACCAGTGCACATACACGGAGAATGGGCTTTACAGTGAAGTAGGAGACATCTTGTGTCCAGCTGGAAAACTTTAGAAATTAACAATATTTAAATATTCATATATTCTGGAATTTCTAATTATGTAGAAGAGGTAGAGGTAGACTTTTAAAGGATTTTATGGTGGAAATTATACTTTTTTGGGAAAAAACATATCAGAATTATTAGATAGATTATTTATGTTTTAATAGATGTCAGGGGGGATCTTTAAGGACCATTACCTGTACTCCAACACTGACATTCTTTTGTGTTGTCATTTGGTTGCCATTAACGTTAAATGGTGGACAAAATGCAGTGTGTCCGTAGTGTGTCCGCTCTAATCTCAACTACAGCGACGTTTCACTAGCTAGTCGAGGTGTCGCCTATTTTTACCACAAGCCGTGCACGTCTCCCAGCTAAAAAGAACAGTGAAAGGATCTATTGGTAGTCATAGCCACATATTTCAGTACAGCCACACAGCTAACACGCAGTGTGAACACCGTGAGCATGCCAGGCACAGCTGTCACACGCCGGAGACCACACGCTGCTTATTAATAATATATAATATTATAATAATTGTCATATTTGAACATTTTCATTTTTTACTATTGGAGGCCCTACACCCTAAAGTGGTTCTTACATTCTCCTTTATATGAGCAGCCATTACACAATGAATAAAATAATCAACATTTCAACAGCTAAAATGTACGTCATATGTTACGACTTGACCTGGCGATTTTTGTCGAAGGAAAATAGAGAATTTAATAGTGTGTTGACAGATTTGTTTGCCTTAACCACCACCGCTGTTGGCATACCGGTGCTCTTGATCTGCGGCAGGAAATTTGCATTATAAGGCTCAAATATGTGTTGCGACACTAGACAGATTTTCTCTTTTTTTGGCCAAAAGTGATAATGATAATGGAGGTTGCTGACCCCTAGTTCAGTGCCACAGACAAGATAGAAAAACTTGCAAGAGACAAATATCAAGAGACAAGCTAATGCATTGTTGGTTTTAGTGTTTTCATGGACAGCAATGACAAGTAAAACCTGCCTTCTTGTTACATTTCTTGTCAAATTGGGTATTCTGGAATAAGACTTGATCCAGGTCAGACACTGCCAGCATGATTATGTATATATAGTCCTGATTAATATATACAGTATATGCATATGTAGTCCTGACTAATATATATATGTATGTTCA